TGGACAAGGTTAATTCTGGAAGGGTTTTATGGGACCAATAGTGTTATCTATAAGTTCTTATTATCTTCTTTTTCCAGATAGCCATCTTGGGTAGTTCTGATTATAGGTTCTCGGTACTTCAGGTGCTGAAGATCTTAGGTTATATCATCACCCTTTCCATATGGCTTGAAGAATGACAACAGTAAAAAAGCCTGAGCTCAGGAAGATACCATGTGTGCTAGGCTTATTCTTTACTGGGGCCCCAGGGTCTAGCACACTGAGGCATTTAGTAGATCTTTGTAGGATGAGTGGATATGAATGAACGATAAGACACTGGATTGGAAGACATCTATATGAGGCTCTTTAGGGGTACAGTGCACAGAAAAGCCAAATGCCCAGCAAACTAGTTTCTCAAATGCTTATAGATGAGATTCATTTCCTTCCCTTAAAATATAAGATCCTTTTTCTATTGTCAACAAATGTACCAAATGATTGTTTCATATCTGATCATTATCATTTATCTAAAGCATACGCTCTGTAATTCAGCTTTACAGTTACTGAAAGCAAATTATAGTAAATCAGAAATGTATTAATAATAACGACTTTACTTTTCCCCAAGTTTTTTAATTTTAAAAATAACTGATAACCATTCATATGTCAACAAATACTTTAAGATATGTAGTAAAAAATTAAGTCTTTCCCACCCATCTTCTCTTTCTTGTTATGACCCCTAGATTAGACACTATTCCTACTTTCTTCTGCAGTCTTCTATTTTACCCCTACACAAATATATATTTAGCTACTCTTTTTTAAAAATATAAATGGTAGCATATATACTCATTGTTCTTTATCTTGCTGTTCTCACTTAATAGAATTTAGGGATTGTTATGGTTTGATTGTCCCTCCTTCTCCAAATTAACTGATATCCTAACCTCCAAAGTGGTGGTTCAGGGCCTGGGACTTTTGAGAATTAAACTATCTATATAGATAGAGTGTGTGTTAGTGCCACCATGTAAATGTGCAATTGTGTGTGCCAGTGCCACCATTTAAATGTGCAAGTCATAGATATTGAGAGCTTGAGGAGAGCTTATATTATCTAGTTCTTTCCCTGTTATAGGTAAGAAACTAGGTGCAAGAAAACTTGTCATTTGGCTATAACTAACTAACAACTAGGTTCAATCTGGCTTACAATTAAAAAAATGTTTTGGTTCACTCAAATGGAAGCCCAGAGTCAGTGCAGGCTTTGGGGCTGAGGAATCCTTCTAGCCTCACTCAAGGGCTCATATTATTTTTCTTTGATCAAAGGGCAGTTGCCAGGGGGTTGCTAGTACCAAGGAGGTGGTGTAGGGAGTTTCCTTTATTCTCTGCCACGGGGAGAGAAGAGAGTGCTGCTCCTGTAAAGGCTCTTGGAGGAATCCTGTGATTGGACAAGGCCCATCCTCATTATTGAGGATAATCTTCTTTACTCAAAATCACCAGATTGTTAATGTTAATCACATCAAAACATCTAAACTAATATTTGCCAATCAACACAGTAAACTTTTTCTCATACCTCATTTCACACGCCTTCTCCTCAGTCCATCATTGGCAAGAGGATGGGTCATTCTACTACTCCTGAAAGTAGTAGTCAGGTCAGCTTCCATGTGAGGCACAGGGGGTGTTGGGGAGGGTACCCAAACGAAATCATAAGTTAGTTCTATGTGTGATATTATATAAAATAGCACTACTTAATGTCTCAGCATTATTTTAACTTATAAAACATAAAACAGATTCACTTGAAATTTTTATCAGTCAAGGTTCCCTGTAGAAAAAGAACCAATAGAACAGGGATAAACACACACACACACACACACACACACACACACGATGAGAATTATCTCAAAGAATTGGCTCAAACTATTGTGGGGGCTAGCAAAACTGAAATCTGTAGGGAAGACCAGCAAACTAGAAATTCAGGGAGGAGTTGATGTACTTTTGAAGCAGAATTCCTTCTTCAATAAAGTTCAGTGTTTGCTGTTAAGGCTTTCCTGTGATTGGACAAGACCCATCCTCATTATTGAGGATAATCTCCTTTACTCAAAATCACCAGATTGTTAATGTTAATCACATCTACAAAATACCTAAACTAATGTTTGCCAATCAACTAGGCATTATAACCTAGCCAAAATGACACATAAAATTCATCATTACATTTTTTTGTGTGTGTGCGTACAGTGTTGGGGAGGAAAGTGCTATACCACTGAGCTATATCCTCAGCCTAATCATCAATTTTTATTTTCTAATCTTATTTATCTTAATGTTTCTAACTTCAAATTTCTTTAGAGAGGGTGACAGAAGTGTGATTTTGGAAACATACATTATGGTGAGGGTGGGGGCACTGTAGTAAGAAACTACATGAATCACTATATTTTCTGCTAGGCCAGGATCCATACAGTTGTTTCCACAGGTAGAGGGACTCCGCCCAACTCTACACATGAGAACACTTACGCTCTTCAGATCTGATCCATGGTTCTGCTGTGGAAAGGGGGACTGCACAGAGGTTTTCTTTAGTGTCCACAGTCACACTAAGATAGTCCATGTCCCAAAAAATGTCACAAGCAAATAAAAGGGGGGAAAATTAGGGTTAAAAACCTTTAACTATGGACTCTAAGATGGCCTCCTGGTGACAAAGCACTCATCAATGATGATGATCCACTCATTAAACAGAACCAATGATATATACAGTACACTTTTCACATGTGATCTGACAAATATTCTGGTGTGACTTAAGAGGGATTTAGCTCAAGCATCTCTCACACTATTTAAGGACTGTTTTGGGTGTTAGTATAGTTTGTAGATTATTTAAAAATCTGTTTCATAATCTCAATCCTATTGAGGAAAAGGAATACTTTTAACATGCTGGTATCCCCCCCCCTTCCCCCCCCCCACACATGCTGTGATTATTCTTGTTCACCCAAAGTTTAGGAAAAATTTCTAGCCAAAAAAACACTCAATCAAGTAACTAAACCAAAATCATGGGAATCAGTTATGCTTAGGAGGCAATACATACAAACAAATCGCCCATTAGTGCTGCAGGAGAGATTTTGATAGAAGACTCCTGTCAATTTCACCCAGTCCTATCTTAAATACCTTCCTTCTAACTCATGAAGGACAATAATACAGGGTCACAGTGGGTGTGTGTGTTTATATGAGGGTGTGGAGAGAACAAAGGGGACTCTGGAGAGAGCCAATTTGGTGCAGTTTAGGAATTCTTGCCTTGTCCAGAGCCAGCCCAAATAGTTTTCTTCCTTTAGGTAGTTTAAGGATTTCCAAAACAAAAATAAATAAAGGTGGCTGTGATCTCTCTGGTGCCTACTCGGGTCTGGAAGCGCCTCTGCTGCTGTCCATCGCTGGGTCCGCTTAGCTCAAGGGGCACTGCGTCCGGAGATGTCAGCGGGTTACTGCCCCAATGTAAACCCGGCGTGGGGGACAGCAGGGGCAGCCATCTCCACCTGAGCAATCTGGGTTTCTCTGGGCTGCTCTCCCAGTGCAGGCCCCTGGCAATTTTGTAGAGATTATGGGCCACGCAGCTCCCACGGAGAAGTCGGCTTGTTTAACCAAAGGTAAAACGCTGGCCGTGCTGCGTGCAGGGGTGGCGCTGGCAGGCCGCAGCTGGAGGCACTACCCGCCCCGGCAGCGAGGCTCGCTCGCAGGAGCCGGAGGTGGAGGCGCGCCCCCCTGTGGCCGGAAGCAGGACTGCCCGCAGGGAGCGGTTCTGCTGCAGCCTGTTCACCAACGTCAACCGAACCACCCCAGCCTCTCAGAGGCCTGCTCCCCAACTTTCCGTCACTCTCCGTTGGAGAGAGGGTGGTGGACGCTGGGGCAGGGGAGAGGACCCAGGGTTTTTACTTTTCAGCTTTTGTACACCACCAGTCTCTCCGGCAGAGCCTGTGGGAGGCCCACTCTGTGGGGAAGCGTGGTCCACCTCTGACCCGGAAGTTCATCTTGGACCCGGAAGCCTCTGATCTCCTGTATTTGTCAGCACTCCCACAGGCGGAGGAGGCCGTTTCTCTTTCCCCCATGGCTCAGTGGTTCTGCATTACTGCTTCTTAGCATGGACGTTCTGAGTGTTTTCCTACCCAGTTTTATTCAGCACTCTCAGTGTTGCAGGTACCCACAGGGCACGGCTGTCAAAGTTTTTTTTTTTCCAATAACTGCCTTCAACTCTGCTAGAGCATCCTCTCCCACCATGACAGTTTCCCAGTGGGCAGCAAGGCTTTTGAAGACGACTGGATTGTGTTTAGGTTATTATGACAGTCACACTTAAGACATGTCTCTCAAAAATTTATTTCAAACTCCATTCAAAGCTTGTCTTTTTTATTCCCCAGGTTAACTGGTCCTGTGTGCGTGTGTGCGCAGGGAGCATCATGTATGTGTGGCTTTGAGAACCTTCCTTCCCATATTGTCCTAGGTCAGGTTTTTTTTTTTTCTCCCCAAAATGCAATTTTTAAGCCATTGTTGGATCAGAAAACTAATTTAGAGAGTCTTGATCTCTGTTTTTTTTTTTTTTTTTAAAGGAATAGAATGGAATACAAAATGCAGAGTACTTAGCACATATAATGCAGTATTATTTCATAGGAAGCATTGCTTCAGTTGTGTATATATTAAAGATAAAGATGATAGTAGCTGTTGGCTGCCTGGGATGGTGCACATTGTGTCCTAATGTAAAGCTTACTGTGGGTCATGCTCTAGATAGGTCTTCCAGTTTGAGGGTAGACAGAAATGATGCACAGGGGGAGGAGCAAAAGGAGGAATCTCAGCTGATTCTTGTCAGCACATGCCCCAATCTCTTCTCATGATTGGTCATTCTGTCACTTGGCTCAGTGGCTGCCTGGGGAACCAAATAACTTGCCCCACCGCTAACATTTGTGTTCATGGGAATCACTGGAGTTCTCTTCCAGGTCCCCTGAATTTATGCAGTTTACTTTTTATGTGTACTGCACTTCTGTCCCTTTAACCCTCCAAATATCTCTTGCCCACAGAAACCTCTCAGCCCAGAATAGACATGGGTCTCTCTCTTCAGTATACTCTGCAGACATCAATGACAAATATGAAGTATTACCTGTGAAAAGGACAATACATCTCACTTCCAGGCTTCCAGAATATTCCTAAGAGTCCTTCAGCAGGTTGGACTCTACTGGTGAGTATAATATAGCTAACACCTGGTTGGAAAAAAAAGATTACTCTTTTTCCTTCCTGCAGAGACCCTCCCACCCTAAGACTCTACCCTCTACCTTTTTAGATGAAAGAAAAGTCTTCTTCCTCTTTCCTTCATGAGGAAGGGGTCACTCCCAAGGTCAGTCATACCCTTTCCCCCACTTTTCTGGAGATAGAGAGAGGAGGTGGGAGAACTTTCTCTGAGCTGCCCTCAACAAACCCTGTAGGAACCAGGCATGGTGGTTTTTGTCTATAATCCAAGCTACTCTAGAGGCTGAAGCTGGAGGATTGCAAATTCAAGGCCAGTCTCAGAAATTTAGGAAGACCCTGTCTCAAAATTAAAAATTTAAAAAGGTGCCAGGCATGATGGTGCATGCCTATATTCCCAGCAACTTGGTAGGCTGAGACAGGAGAATCACAAGATAAAAGCCAGCCTCAGGAAAAGCGAGGTGGTGCTAAGTAAGCAACTCAGTGAGACCCTGTCTCTAAATAAAATAAAAAAAATAGGGCTGGAGATGTGGCTCAGTGGTTGAGTGCCCCTGAGTTCAATCTCTGCTACCTCCTCAAAAAAAAAAAAATTAAAAAGGGCTGGGGCTGTAACTCAGTGGAAAAATGCCCCTGGATTCAGTTCCTAGTACTGCAACAAAACAAAACAAACCCTGCAGGGAGGTGACTGCCCTGAACTGTTAATGTCTTGATCTTGTAGTATGAAGTAATTAGAGCTCTCTCTGACCTTAGCTATGGGGCTTAGCTTCAGTTCATAGACCAAAACAAAAATCCCACCTAATTGCTTGTTGCACATGTTTTTCAGTGCGATGTCTTCAGTCTTTCTTCATGTATCTTTTTCTCCAGCCATACTGATCTCACTTCACTTCCAGTCCTTCCCACTGTTATATTTCTGGCACTTGAACTATCTTTTCCTATCACCTTGCAACATCCAGAAAGCATTCTCTAAGCAACCAAATGGGAAGTGAACCAAGCCTCTCTGGACCCCCACATTTGGTCTCCTTGCCTAGAATGAGATTTGTTTCATTTTGACTTACAGAAATATGGGTGGTTTCTTTGCTCCTCTGCCTGAATGAATTTCCTACAGGATATAGGTCACATCCTAGTTATCTCTGCATTCCACATAGCACTTTCCACATAGCACTTTCCACATAGTCAATGCTGAAAATATGTTCACAACTCATTGAATAGCAAAAGCAACTTCTTGGACATCTAGGAAAAGTCTTGTAAAATTGTCTGGTTGCACTTTAGGATGGCCATTGTGAGTCCAGAGTTTCAAATACCTTGAATTGGCTTCCACTTTACAAAACGTCCTACCTCACCAGATTACATTTGAAACGTTTGTCTTCATAACAATTGAGTGAATTAAATGGGACCGATATTATTCTCCTTGTTTTTCAGGTAAAGAAAGGATTCAGAGTGTGAGTGGCTTGCCCATGCTTCCCTGGGTAGTGAATCATGGCTTGTTCTGTTTCTTTTGCCTCTTCTCATTTTTTCCATCAAGCCACCTTGCAGGCTTATGCTTTTCTGGCTAAGCAAATGACCTCTAAGTACTTTCCCAGGGTCTTCAATGAGTTGGTTTTGGTCCCATCCCCAGCTGGTGGTGACTCACTGAGTACATGACATTGAGCAAGCTATTAACCTGTACTCACATCTCAGTTCCTTCATCTTGAAAATAAAGATGACAATAGATGCCAGCTGCCTCACATGGTGTTGTGAAGATTAATGAGATGATGCAGGGAAGTGCCCTGAGCTCCTGGGATGAAAAGCTTAGTAAAAGCACAAAGTCTAATTATAATTTCTGAACAGTTTCAGAGGAGCCTCTGGGAAGGCTAGTTCTTGTTTCTAAATTTGGAGAGGGTGTCTGCCTAGCATGGATGATTTTCTCTCGACTGGCAGCTATAGCAGTCTGCTGCTTATGCTGGTCTTCATGACTCTGCTATAATCCAGCACCACTCAGTCTACCCTTGGGTCTCATAAAAATATAAATGAAAGCTCCTAAAGATCCTGCCTTCTATCTTCCCTACTCATAGGAAGACACAAGGATAATTCCTTTTGGACAGGCATCAGATAGGGTTCTATTGGTCTTAAAGAATGTAGATGCAGTCCCTAAGGATGGGATTGTGGTGTAGACTAGTGGGAATGTAAAAAGTGTGCTTGGATCTTACAGGAATGATTTTCTTTTCCTGGTAAGGGCCAGGTTCAGAAGACCTTCTAGCCTTGTTCTCAGCTTTCTGTCTCTGAACACAGTGTAAGATCTGAACTTTGGCACTTCTGTTGCCATCTTGCAACCCCTTGGGAAAACCAAGGGAATTGCAGCAACATTGGCTTGACACCATTGAGTCACTAAAGCAATGAAGCATATGTTGTTTTTATAAAAAGTAATCTTTGCTTGAGCCATCATCTCTCCATTACTCCTGGGCAGATAGATAACTGTAGCTGATAGACAACCATGTCTGCCATTGGGTGGTTGCTCAGGACCACAAGGTATTTACTGGTTTTCTGACCTGGAATGTTTTGAGATACTGAATGTTACCCAGAAAATCTGTGGCTGTACTCATCATATATACTGCTTTGATCTACTTCTGATCACTGTTTCCTCAGATGCTCATCAAATGATCTCTCCTGTGACTGAGGTTGTGGCTCAGTAGTAGAGAGCTTGCCTAGCACGTGTGAGGCACTGGGTTCAATCCTCAGCACCACATAAAAAATAAATACATAAAATAAACTCATTGTGTCTATCTACAACTAAAAATATTTAAAAAAATTATCTCTCCTGAATATAGGAATAGAAAATCAGTACTAGATCCAGCTTTTGAGGAACAAAGAGGTGAGCTTTGACTTTTCACTTTTACCATTTCTCAGCTTCCAGATCAAGACATTCAGAGCCCTCAATGTCCCTGACTATACCCTGTTTCTCACCTCTACTCAAATTTCTCTCTTTCATACCCTAGTTCTTTACAGTCTTAATCAATGTTGGCTCCATGTGTCACCTTCACAGGTGGCACTAGCAAAAAAGAAGAGAACTCTGGGAAAATGTGAAGCTAGGTTTTTGTTATCTTTCCCTTGCCTATTTCTGTTCTATTCTCATAATAATTTTTGAGTATCAATATCTTCTTGATGTTCATCTGGGTCACATTCTTATTTTTTTTTTATTATTGGTTGTTCAAAACATTACAAAGCACATTCTTAATTCTAAGGGACTCAAGTTATCTTATTTCTGAAATAAGGATAATAATATTTTCTCTGATCTGAGATAGAGGATTCATACTCTGATCTCTTTAGATCCTCTCTGGCTCCCTGTTCTTTCTCTACCCAGGGGCCTTCCTGGCTCTAGAGAAAAATTCAGCAATGGAGAAAAAAATATCTCAATAAAGAAGGCTTATGTCCTGCATATTATTTGCATTTTCAGGGAGGATCTGTGGGGAAAATACTGGGAAATTTGAGTCCTTTTCTGGTGTTCAATGTAGAAAGTCAGCCTACTGTACCTTTGCAGTGAGCACATTCCTGAAATGAGTACAACAAATAACCACATCTGGCTTTCAGTTGGATTTCCCTTCTTTCCAATTCACTATGGATCAGGGTATTCAGAATTAGCCAAGACTTTCAACATTTAATAACTAGTCCTAGAAAGGAAATAAGATGATGAACTACTTGTCTTAGAAAGCCATAGAACTTTAAAAGTAGCTATAGATTTCCTAACCACCTCTAAAGAAAGGGCTGCCTTCCTGAGATATGTAAGAAATCAGTAGATATCTCAAGATACTTAAATGATAAGATAGTTTAGTTAATTAAAGCATCCCACAAATACCAGGAACTAGAAAGATAAATGCTTAAAGGGATGCTTCAAGGACTATTTGTTTTCCTGTAAGGAATATGATTTCAAATGATAAAGTTGACTGGAGAATCTCTCCCAGGCATAATGTGATCTGAAGGAAGATCTTAAATAGGTTTTTTCTCTATGCATGGAAAGAAATCTATATTTTGGTTGCATTTCAAAACAGAAACTTAGTTCTTATAAGATTTAAATGTGCTGGTTCTTAGGTAATTAGGAGTTCTTTCCAGCCCAAATGAGACCATTGGCTTTGCCTTATGCTTGGAAAGAAAATGGAGTGTATATGAAAGCCAACAGATGTCTTACCTGTGAGCCAAGTCATTAAGATGAATAACAAATGAATAAACAGAAACTGTTGAGGGATATGCTCTGTGCACACATTCACTGATGACATGGCTATGTGCACATGGAGTCTTCCTCTTTCAGATAATTAGGGTAGTTTTAGCTTTACTTTGTCTCTTAGGTCATAGATTTCTCATTTTGTCCTTACTGATTAATGATCATCTTTTACTTCCAATATCCCAAACTTTAGCTCTAGTGACTGTCTCTTCGTTTGGTTGCCCTGTTGTAATCATTGAAGGTAATGGCACTAATGGGCCATGGAATGGTTGGCATCCATGTGTGGATGGACTGATTCAGATTAACTACCAAAGTGACCTAGTGTATTGCTTCATAATTTGCCATGAAATGAGTCACTACTTTCAGATGTAGTTATTCAGTTCTAAAGCACTGTTGAATATGAGCAATGCCAAAAGAATAGAGGTAATATCCAGTGTTAGTTCTATAATTTCTTAGATATTGTTGAAGCCTTTCTCTGGGTCAGGTGCTGTGCTAGTTTTTAGAAGGTACTGGATAAAGGATATACATTGTTTTGTACATTGATGAGTTTTTATTTGAAGAAAGAAGATTCAAGCTTTATAATCTATTTTACTCAACTGAGGAAGAGGCTTGAAACATATCAAGGAGTACAGGAACCATTGTGTGAAGACTCATAAAAATGCCAACCAGGCTGAGGAGTATGTGCCTATCTCCAAGTTTCTGGTGGTTGCTGGAAATTCTTGGCATTCTTTGGCTTGTAGCTATATAACTCCAATCTTTACATTTATTGTCACGTGGCCATCTTCCCTCTTCACCTATCTCTG